AGTTAAACTTCGGCACTGGCAGTATTGATTTCGATAAAAAGGGTCATTTGAGGGGCTCGTTGTCAGAAATAAATTAGCTGTCGACGCTGTGTACGTGTTGTTTTGTTACGCCAGACATTTGGAGGAGCCGTTAGCTTGCTCGCTAGCCTGTGCGTTAGCCTTCCAGACGAAGCAAAGGAAAAGTCCACTTTTGACATCTGTTTGTTGAAGGACCACTGCCCAGGTTGGTTTGTGGTGACTTTGATTGTTTATTTTACTGATAGCATATGATAAGAGTATAGATGTCGTTATCTAAGTTTTAAATTGGTCAATCAGGCTTGCGTAGCTAACGAAACGTTAGCAAAAAATCAGAAGTGTCACAGATGTGGTAGCTAGTCGACACTGTCCAAAAAAGAAAAGGAAAAACGCTCCAACCCCCATTGTTTTGAAATTATGTTGTATTTATTAATGACAGTGTTTTCAAGCTTCACCCTTTTGTTGCATTTACTCAATTAACTATGTAGCATTTAGTGTTTTAAATGTAATTTTTTTCTGACTAGCTAGCCCCTTGCAAATACGTTCAAAGTCTTCACGACAGTTTTCTTCAATGCAAGTGCAACATTGTTTTACAATGTATAAAGTGAAAATAACTATAGTTAGCCGGATTTACAGTTGAGTCCTTATCGATGGATCCTACCCCTTGGTGCACCGAGGCCAGCTAAAGTACTTATTATGCTCAACATGCTTGCCAAGTCATGGTTCCGTTGGTCCTGTGTTTTAACCATGTGATCAGTCGCTGACACAGTGTCATGGGGCACAGATTATGAGAGCCGCATAGCGCTATGCTAGTTTTGCCTCGAGCCGTGGTTACTTGTTCTCATAATGGGGTGATCTGTGAAACACAGCATAATCTGTGATTAGGCTCTGTACCTTCTTTCAGTAATGTTGTCTCCAAGATAAAAAAAAAAAAAAAAATCCCGATTGGACTGATAAAGCCTTTCTGTAATTGAGTTTGGACTTTGGTCACTACAGCAGTGAAAGGTAGTTATTAGTACGTAGCGCACTCGGTCCAAGTCGGAAATGCTCAGTGATGTCTTGAGCAGGCACAAAGGATGAGGATATTTGACATCTGGATTTTAGTTATACACATACAAACAAACGAACTAGACTTGTGATCAGCAGGGTCTGGGATGTTTATTGCAGCTCTTGGATTTTGTGTCACCCCTTAACAGAGATTAAACAATGAGAGGAGGATGTACTACATTTGAGGGGGGTGGGGGTGGGGGGAGAGAATAGAAAATGGCTGACAACTATAATACATTGTCCCATTTCCTCAAATTTAACAAACGGGAACTGTTTATTAAGACTTATGAATTAAATTGTGAAGCTAAACGGTGTGCAATACCTGCCTTGTATTTGGATAAATGCATATTTCAGAGAAGACATCATCAAAATGTATTCATACCCATTTTGGAGTAACTGGGCATGCTTCCATTTCTTTTGACGTTTGTTTTTATAAACCTCCAAGAATGGTTGCTTCAAAATGAAACAATGTAGTTTATTCCATTGAATGGTGTATATGAAATATATAAATAGAACAAAATGAATACTTTACAGCATAACAAAAAGAACCAAATGTCAGCTCAGATCAACGGCCTCAACATTGCATTGTTATATTTTGAGCCTCGTGGTACAGTGTAGCCGTTTTCTTTGTTTCCAAAGTGAAGAAAAGACAAGTACAGGAGCAGTTGGTGCACTTAGTCTTAGTCTCGTTTGTCTCATTTGAGCTTTTCTAGTGCTTACTTCTCTTCTCTTCTAATAAAGTTTGTTGTCTTCGCGGCTGTGGCACAATGACGTCGAGGAAGAAAGTATTACTCAAAGTCATCATCCTTGGAGACTCGGGGTAAGTGATGCTGAGCAGCTGCTTCAATGCTAAAGGGGTCTGAATAATGGCTCACTTCAAATTAGACACCAGTAGGAATAAGTAGGATTTATAAGCTTTACAAATGAGTTCATTGTGGTGATTTTGTTTCGTTTGTTTCTTCCCTTCATGTGTGTTAAATATTGTTCTGCAATTTTTGTTCTAGAGTTGGGAAGACCTCGTTGATGAATCAATATGTGAATAAGAAGTTCAGCAACCAGTACAAAGCCACAATAGGCGCTGATTTCCTGACAAAAGAAGTAATGGTGGATGACAGACTTGTCACAATGCAGGTACTGCCAAAATATGCTCACAAGAATACTGAAAAACTGAATGGAAATGTTAAGTCTTATGTACCATGGCAACTTTGTTGATAAAGCACTTTATAAACAGCTGCAGCGGACACAAAGCGCTATACACAAAAATGAATAAGTACATTGAAAACAATAAAAAAGAAGTAAAAATAGGCAACTATAAATCAGTTAAAACAACTAAGATCAATGTCTCATGCTGGGTCAAAAGCCAGGAAGTATAAATGCGTTTTAAGATGAGTTTTGAAACTGGACAATGTAGGTGACCGTCTGACCTGCAAAGGCTATTAAACTAGTTATACTTTTTTCTCATTTTTATTTCTTAAAAACTACAAAAAAAAGTGAAAAACTCAAATTAGGGGTAAAAGTTAGATGTGGTTAATTTCAACCATACAAACCAGTGTTGTTGTTTTTTTTTGTTTTTTTTTTTGTTTTTTTAATTTCTGTTTATTTGGTGCCTGTAAGCATAAAGATTCTTGTCTCTTAGATTTGGGACACAGCAGGTCAGGAGAGGTTCCAGTCTTTAGGTGTGGCATTCTACCGTGGAGCAGACTGCTGCGTCCTGGTGTTTGACGTCACTGCACCCAACACCTTCAAGACCCTAGACAGCTGGAGGGACGAGTTCTTGATTCAGGCCAGCCCACGAGACCCTGAAAACTTCCCCTTTGTGGTGCTGGGCAACAAGATCGACTTGGAAAACAGACAGGTGTGTTCAAATGTAACTGTGCCAGACGTGTTACATCATGTAAGTGATGCATCATCTTTTATCGAAAATGTGTGACAGGTGTTGGTAATTTGTCATACGAATGGCTTAATGAAACAAGAATAACTTGTGTTTTGCCAGATGTTTTTAACCTCACCATCTTCTTTGTGTTTCAGGTAACAACCAAGCGAGCACAAGCTTGGTGCCAGAGCAAGAACAACATCCCATATTTTGAAACCAGCGCCAAGGAAGCAATCAATGTGGAGCAGGCCTTCCAAACTATTGCACGCAATGCTCTTAAACAGGTAAGGTGATGTCAGCAGGAAAGCTGTTGGGCAGTTTTAGACACACAACTTCATGGAGACTGAGCTGTAGAGCTTCACACAGACTCTGTTACCTTGTTTGATTTCAGGAGACCGAGGTGGAGTTGTACAACGAGTTCCCTGAGCCAATTAAACTGGACAGAAACGAGCGAGCCAAGCCGTCAGCAGAGACCTGCAGCTGCTGAGGACTCTGAAGATCTTCAGAGGGTTGTCATGCCCTCACTACCCTGTCTTGCCTTGTCTATATATCCTCTTTCCCATGGCTCACTATGTTATTCCCTATTGCCCAACATACAAGCAGCATCCCACTTATTGAGAATACTAGTATACACAAACATGCTGCACTCACCTCCTTATGTATACAAAGTACACATTTTCTATAAAAATCTAAATTTCCTAGCCCAAAGAACACCTCGAGGGAACAATACAACATTTATTTGTATTAAGCCTATGACTTCCCAGTGTTTTCTCATACTTTTTCATGGCAGTGGTGGTATGGGCTGATCTCACTTGGAGTTCTATGTTTATCAATGCTTTCAGTCCCAGTTTTGGTTGTAACAGTTTTTATTTGAACATGTCCAAGTGGGAAATCAAAGCATTACTTCTTTAGTTATTTGTATTTCTAATTTAATTTAAACTTCTTTTTTTTTTTTTTAGTGGTTTTCTTACTTTCACAGCCCACTGCTGCTGCATGAATAGTAGAAACACTGCTCCCCCTTCTTACTCATTTGTGTTGTGGCTTATGTTAGTTTCACTCTGAAACACTTGTTAATGTGGTTTCACTTGACCTCATAAAAATCTTTAAAAAACATAATTCTGACACTTAAACAGGGATACTGTGTAAAAGTGTAGATGATATCATCATACTGCCTGCTGATTCTTAGTAATTGGTATAGAATTGGAAATGCAGATCGATAACAAGTCCATTAGACAAGTGTGTACAGATTCTTTTTTCTTTTTTGCTTTCATCTTCGGTAACTGAAAACTTACTGAAACATCTCATTTTGGAGCCACAATAAACACAATTGTAGCTCAGGTTGAGAACATTGTGTGAATACAGACTCAGTTCCTGCGTCCAAGTGCTGTTCCTCTGCTGGGGAAATGAAGGTTGTAAAATTCCAGATAGAACATTTGACATGAACCAAATCAAGACAGCATGTCAGTCTACCAGATAGTCCTAGAGGAGAGATTTTTCTCGAGTACAAATTGTCATTCATAACCCAGTACTATTAGCTAGTACATTTCTTTTTATTGTCAGCTGTTGCAACTTTGTATATTTGCAGACCTCTCAATCATTGTGTGGGGAAAACATAAAGTTGTGTTGTAAATCTCCATATCCGACTCTGCCAGATGCTCGTGTTGGCATACGATTCAAGTGCTTGACATTTCTTTTAACTGATCAGATCTTTAACTGTCTGTTCGTATTATTTTAAAACTTTGAAACAAGATGACATACATACTGTAACTCTGAAGGACAAATGTGGGGGGGAGAGTGTTGGCATTCATCATTATTATATTATTAATATGATAATGCATAGCATTTACATTGTTTCAAGTAATAAGGGTAATAAAAAAAACCTTGAATAAAGCATTATTGTGTCTGACATTTATTGATGAACTCTTAAATTGTAGAACAATGAATTACATTTAAAGTATTCATAAGTACAAGTTAAAAAATTTTCTTAAAAGTTTAAACTTTTTCTTATACAATTGTACAGCAGCAGAGTACAATAAGTAAGGCATGAATGGTCTTTCAAACACTGTTGAGTTTTCAGTTCATGTATTTACTTTGTTCTTGGTTTCTTGTTGGTTCCCTGAAGCCACTGCTGAAGTCCTCCTGCAGACTTGCGCTGATTCAGTGGCTTGCTTTCTTGCTCTTCTTTGCTTTCACTTGTGTGGGACTCCTTCCTCTTTGAAGGTGAACTGCTCGACAGCCAGCTTGCCATCATCTTACTGCTTGCTGTGGACTTGGGTTCCTACGAGTGAAAGAGTCAAATTTCTCAGCTGTAACCGCTCTTGTTAGTACAAAATGGCTAAAATTCCCAACCACATCATTATATCTGATACCTTTTTGCTGTTGAGATCCACTGGTTGGAGGCATTCTGGAGAGTTGTTGCGCGTGTTGTTGACAAACGAAGAGACGGGGTGAAAAGTCAAAATATTTTTTGACTGGAGCAGTTTGAGAGCTTCTAGAGACTTCACCTCCCCAAAATCCAGCCATTGCCTAACCTCTTCCTCCCCATCAAGGATCGCTGGCATCCTAAAAAGCAGTCACAATGATTTATGATTTTACACAGCACGAATTAAGAGCATGTTTCCTGGTCTGGGATTCTTACCTATCATGGATGCTTTGCAGATTTTGGGAAGCATTCACAGTTATTACACTATATGAGTAAAGGGGTTCTCCACCTCCAGGTGGTGTCCAGCAGTCAAACACTCCTGCCATAGTTAGCAACCTCCATCCTGTCCACTCACCTGCAGCTTCTCCTCCCTGTTAAATACAGAGTATAATGGGGATTTCAACAATGCAACAGAAACACCTGGTGGACACATGCACATTTTTATCTTGGTTCATCTCCCACACAGGAAACTTAATATCCGCCTAAGCTGCATTCTCTCTACTTTTGAAGTAGATGAAAAAAATGTTTGTGGAGCTTATATTGCAACAGAAAACCCAAAGCAAACCTTCATCAAACCAGAGGAGGCTTTGGCTGGAGGGCGCACTGACTCAGAGTCTGAGTTCTTTCTTTTCTCCTGGCTGGGTCCTGACTGAGTCTGAGGGAAGTAGATGAAGAAAGGCTGCTTGCCTTTTTCAACCTTTTGCCACTCATAGAAACCATCAGCTAGAATGACACAGCGCTGTCCTTTCAACATAGGGTCCTACAGGGAGATGGTAAAATGGTTAAGACACTCCTATGTAACAAAAACCGACAAGTAAAGCAACACGTGATGCACAGGAAATGTAACATCGCTTGCTACTAGGTAAAGCACCTTGTAGGACTTCTTCTGCAATATATTCTCACTGCGGCAATTGCTGGTACTGTATTGCATCTTGCTGGGGTCACTCTCCTTAAACCATGAGGGTACCAGACCCCACCGCATTGAGGCCAACACACACTTATCCACAGGAGCATCCTGAAGACAAAAGACGGACACAATATTCAATGCAAAAAACCCAGAAGGACAGAATGTTTTTGAAGCCTGTAATATTTAATACATAGTCGGTCAACAGACACAAGAAATACATTAGCAAATGTTAGCATCACGTTTTTAAGTTCTATAACTGTAATAAAATATATAAGGTTTTATTACGAGGTTAGACAGTGACTGACTTCACCTGGGGTCCTCTACAAAAGCCCCACTTCACTTAAAAACGTCACATCTTCCACCTTCCTCGGGCGCTTCCCCAATATAAGTTAAGCTATAACAAACAGTTGACATGTTAGCTTCTGTATACGTTATAATAATTACCTTGTCAAAATGCCTCTGTGACAGCAGGACGGGACTCATGGACTGCGGGTTCTTATTGTAGGAGGGTCGATAGTTGTCCGCGTCTCCATCCCTCCAGCGGGGCTGTCTCCTCTGCCCCCTTCGGTTTCTGTAAGAGCAGGCTCGTTTCAGCTCGTCAGGAGCAAGGGTGCATGCTGTTCTTCCACACATTTTAAATGAGACGAAGCAGAACTTTTCCAACACCTGAGAACGACATTAAAGGTATCGTGTTAGCATGTTAGCCTGACTTTTTATCGACCAAAACATAGCTCTAGAGCCGCTGACACTATTTAGGACTACTTGCCCCACCACTTTCCCAATGTTGTGGTATATTTGACGTGCATGAAAAAGCTGTACTTACTGTATCTGAGCCACTCTTAACCTCTGAGTTTGTGTCCGAGGTGAGGTTTAGAGTTCGGTGTATTTTTGAATATAGGGCGGGTATTTGCCTGGGCAAGAGCCGTGAAGGGGGCGCGGATGTACACGCCGTGACGTACACCGGCTCTGCTTCCATCTAGCCAGAGCCAAGATGGCGGCCGTACGGAGAATATTTTATAAGAATAAAATAAAATAATAAAATAATTATTCAAATATTATATTATATTATATGATAGCTACAATGTTTAATTATAAATAAGTACCTAGCTCTTCTTTGTGCCACCAAAAAAGTACCAATACAACTGTGCAACTAAGACCACTGAAAATATTTATGACAATGCAACAGGTAAAATGTAAAAATTAATAATAACAAAGAATGAAAATGAAGAATTAAACATATATTGCATTCCATAAAATAATATTTGGCATAAACGTAAAATGTTAAGCGATTTCCATCAACACACTAACCAAGCGGAGTAGCTAAATATTGCTCACATCGCAAATAGATAAAGACGGAAATGTTAGCGGCTTTCCACGAGTTGCCAAGGCAACAGTAAACAGGTAACGGTTCAGGCTCAGCATGCGCTCCTGACACCTGTGGGTCTCAGCAGGTGAGAGGAGAAACGCGATGGTGACATGTTTTATTGGAGCAGCTTGTGAGTTTACTGTGGTTAGCAACGCTGCAATGACAAGACAATCTTGTTAGTGTCTAGACTGATGTGTGTAAATCTTTGGCTCCACTTCTGGCCTTCCGTTCAAAAGGTAACTGAAGGACATATCACACCCTGCAGGGGCATTAGACACAAACCTGACAGGTGTATCAGGTGAATTAATTGCCCACCCCTGCATTAAACCGTGTCCCCGTTTTGTGTGTAACTATGAAGCAGAGCACAATGATCCTCCTGAGGAATGAGAGCTGATGTCAGTATGGAGTCTCATCGGTCTGTCCACATGGACCAAGAGGGACACCAGACCACAGCTGGACACTGTGCTCCATGCCCAGAGAGGGGTGAGAGATACAAAACTATAAAAGCAAATGCTGCCTCTGTCTGAACTTTCCAAGGAGCAGGCAAATGCAACTGGAAATCACTGGGTTGTATTTTCTTTCTGGCTCCATCAATATCAACTAATGCTCCCCAGTTGATTCCCAGGTTTTGTGCCAGTAATCCTACATTTATTTAAATTTTATTACCCCATTTTATTGTTAAATGTACAGATTATAACTTTAATAGAGGAAATTCTTTCAGAGGAAGCCATTATTGTTGAACTGAAACATGAACAGTATGTTTTCACACCTCAAGACAACTTGGCGTCTTTCTTCACAGACATGGCTTGTAGATCACAAATGCAGAATTAATCATGAGGTCACACTCAGGACAGGTGGCTAAGTGTTTGAATGCCAAAACTATGCATTAAAGTTTCATGAGCTTGTTCCTTGGTCTTCACTTAAGATGCTAAGCCTTTAGCCTTTGGTACTACTACCCTAGTCTTTGTTATGCTGTACCTATCATGTGCCAACAACACTTGTGTTTAGTGTCCTTTATGCACTGGGGTCTACCCATCCTGAGGTCTGCCGCAATTTTGTCAGCCTGCCTGCTCTTGACCTGGATAGACTGAGAGAAGCCAGGGTTGTCGTAGACAAAGCTGTCAAGGTAAGCCTGCACTCCTGAATGTGTTCAAAGCGTCCATGTGTTTTCAGGATTGCGAAGCCATTGTTTGTTTGTCTGCTCTCTGTCCTCTCAGATGCATAAGGTGTTCTCGATCCAGGGCAGGTATCCTGTTATCAGGGAAGGGCTGAGGGCTAGAGGCTGGGTTGAGCGGTGTATGGTCTACTCTAAGCGCCGAGTGCGTCGCCATCAGAGCAGTAGGAACAGAACCGACTCGAATTATGCTGTGTGTAGTGATAGAGATGATGGTGAGCTAGAAGCGTGGCTGACTCCGAAGACTAATCGTGGGTATCTCTGCACACACCATCATTTTATCAACATTTGGTTCTTCTTTTCAGACAACTCAAATGATGCTGAAAAAGAAAAAGATGCTGACAGACTTCACAATGTCATGGTAAGACCAGCTTTTCATGTTGAGGAAGTATACATTGTTAACCTTGGTTAAACTGATTAAAATTACAGCCAATCCCAGATTCAGATCTCATCTCTTTCCTCTGCTCATTTCTGTAGTCTCGCCTGGTGTGGAATGAAATGGTTTACTTCTACTGGACAAACCGCAGAAAGGCCATCAACACAAAAAACCTGCATAAGGAACAGATAACTAATCATTTTTCAAAGGCAGGCAACTTGACCACCAAGGTACATTTATTTGCAGTTGTTATTTCAGACAGCCTTAGGATCCAACTCTGTGCCCCCCATCATTACTTCTCTTTCCCGTTACAGACAGGCTTGTGTTTGAATCTGAGGAAACTACATTGGTTTGATTCGGCTGACCCAGACACCTTCTTCCCCCGCTGTTACAGACTAGCAGCACTAGATGAGAGGCATGCCTTCATTGGTTAGATCTCCTTTTATGTCTTTTCAAGCTTGACCTCTTGTACTGTACCGCTTTGTAATGTTTTTTTTATTTTTTCAGTTTTTATTTCTGCTTTACTCATCTCTTGTCATGGTGCTGGGTCGGTGACCCACCGTTTTGTGTTTATTAATATTATCATTATTATTATTGATTATATATTCTAGCTGAGAGGTTTTCTTCCCATGCCTCCTTGTGTGTCTGGTTATGTGTCGGTGTGCTCTCTCTATGCTCTCTTTCATGTCCCTGAGTCGGTGTCTGCAGTTCTTTCGATGGTTCCAGTTTTACTTTGAAGGTCTGTGTCTCGTCTTGTTAATTAGGATCAGCTGCGCCTCCCTTCGGTTTGCCATTTTGTGTTCCTCTGTGTGTATATTTATAGTGTGGGGTTGCCTTTGCTGGTTGCCGGTCCGTCCGTTAGTTGGTGTTCTCTGCATCTCTCTCTGCTTCTCATCCCATGTTTCTCCCTGCATGTTATCGTTTCAGGTTTGTTTATTAGTTGCCCCAGTTTAGGTTATGTCTTAGTTCTGTCCTCGCCATTCTTGCTTTTGTTTGCTTTCACCTTCTGTAAATAAAGCTCACTCGCATCTCAGCCAGTGCCTGCATCTTGGGTCCTTTTGTCACAACGCCACACGGCTTGCCCCGCACACCATGACATCTCTGATCTCTGTGCAGATGACTACAGGAGGACTGCGTGCACCAGTCTTCTGAAGTACATTGTGGAGAAGGACCAATATGTTCAGGGAGAGAGAATAAGTCACACCATACAAGCTGTTAAGGGTATGACCTTTTCTCACACAAGTGTATATTACTCTGTTCAAAGAAAAAAAGAGAGAGCGATCGGTGTTTTTCGTTCTTTCCTTCAGGTAAGAAGAAACCAAGCAAACGGCAGTCTAGCCCAGTGAATATTTCCCAAACGATCAACAAGGCACTCAAAGTTTGCTAGGACTTTCTGCAGAGTCTGGAGCACAGTGACATAGACACTAACTTAGAAACACAGCAAACACCCGGACAGGAGTGGGCAGAGTTTTTAGACAGTTACTATCTAGTTGTGCAGTGAGTATGCATCACCATGTGCGTGTTAGAGAATTATCCAGAGGCTTTAGCAGACCAACATGCTCTTCTCAGTCAAGTACAACTCTGTTGTGTGCTTCCTTGCTCAGTGGTGGAGCAGAGATTGATAGCAGTGATTATTTAGTGATCCACTGCAAGGCTATGCTGCAGAGGATGAAGATAGTCAATCCCCAGCTGGAGATAGAAGGCATTCATAACATCTGGATCATCAAACCTGGAGCAAAGTCCAGAGGCAGAGGTGAGAGGCCACGCACAATCAGGCCTTTCCCAGATTGTCTGACAAAGTCATGGTTGATCTGTTTTACTTTCTTTCTAGGGATCAAATGTGCTAATCGTCTTGACCAGATCCTCGACCTGGTGAAGGGTGATCCAAAACTTATCAAGGAAAACAAATGGGTGGTACAGAAGTACCTGGAGCGCCCCTTCCTTATCCATGACACCAAGTTTGATGTGCGCCAGTGGTTTCTGGTCACCGACTGGAATCCTCTGACCGTGTGGTTCTACAAAAAGTGCTACTTACGCTTTTCCACACAGCCTTACACGCTAGATTCAATGGACAGGTGAGATGAATAACATAAGAGGTGAAAATGAGAGGAAGGGGCAGACATGAAACCAGTTTGACATTAAAATAGAAAAACAGGAAGTGAAAGGCCGCACAGAGGCAACATTACTTTGCATGCCATTTTTGGCGGGAAATTTGATTTTCCATCTGTGCATCATTTGAATAGTTGTTAACTTTCTCCTCTGGGTATAGTCAAATTCTAACATCTGCCTCCGCATACTTCAAACAAATAGAAAGCCACAGTGCACAGTCTGTAAGTGCTTCCATTGAGCTGAGGGGGAGGAAATGTGGGAATCCTCGGAATTTGTGTATTAGAAATACATGAAGAAATTATATGAGTTTTGTCAGGAGGGATTAAGCTGTTGCAAACTTCAAAGAGTTCCAACTAGGTTGCAACTCATGTGGGATTTGGTTAACTATATTTACCGGCCAATTTGTTAGGTCCACTTGTTTGACTTCTCATTAATGCAAATATGCAATCAGTCAATCACATGGCAGCAACTCAGTGTACTTAGACATGTAGACATAGTCAAAATGACCTGCTGATATACAAGCATGTCCTGAGTTTGTGTCTCCTGTAACACTCTTCTATATCCTAGCCTAACAAACTCTACCTCTGTCCAATAACAGTTTTGTCTTTTATTTTTTAAGCTCCATGCACTTGTGTAATAACTCCATTCAGAAGAGCTTGAGGCCCTTGCTACAGCGGCACGGAAGCATTCCAGTGGACAATATGTGGTCGGTTGACCAGTTCAAGACTTTTCTGTGCACCAAGGACCGGGAAGCTCAGTGGGATACTGTAGTCGTTCCAGGAATGAAGAGAGCTCTCATCTATGCGTTACAGACAGCACAGGATCTGATAGAGTCACACAAAAACACATTTGAGCTCTATGGTGCTGATTTCATGTTAGGTACAATGGGCCCGCCATACATGACACACTGTATTTCACATTACACTCTCTGCATTCATTTCATTTAAATAACATTTAAATATTTTTACTGTTATAAGAACAGAATAATTATCAACAACTAACATGTTATAACATGTTCATTTTTCAGATCGTGACTTGCATCCGTGGTTATTAGAAATCAATTCTAGTCCCACCATGGCTCCATCAACCCCTGTGACAGCCCATCTCTGTGCTGCAGTGCAGGAGGACACTTTACGAGTTGTTCTGGATCGGAGAGTTAAGCGCACAGCAAACACAGGAGACTTCCAGCTCATATATAAAAAGGTCAGGAACAGCTTTCCCTTCGTTATGCTTTATGTATATTTAAATGGAGACTATGATGGAGTACTTCAGATGTCATTTTTCATCTTTAGGCAGCTGTGAAAGTTCCTCAGTATGTCCCTCAACACCTGCATGTTGAGGGATTCCTAGTTAAATGCCCCTACTCGCTTCCTCCCCTGAAGTCCTCCAGCTGTGCAGTGCCAAAACACCGTTCCCCATCAAAGACAAGAGTCCCTCAGCAGAAAAAGTAAAGTCTCTTCCTAAGATACCATTAAAGGATGTAGCTCACAAACACCAACTGTGGGTTTCTGCCACCTCCTCGTCTTCTTTCTCTCACCCTATGATGGTAACTCAACAATGTCTGACAACAGAAGAGATGTGTAACATCTAATAAGATAACATTGTGGAAACTAGATAAACGATTTCATTTTAGTGGTGATTTTGCATTAATTACAGTTTTATATATAGAAAGCCCAAAATAATCATGAAAAGGTCAGAAAAGAAGCATGAGGGATTAAAATATACCAACAGCGATCAGGACTGAAAGAACTGGGATCGCTTTTGACATTGACATTGAGACTCGCTAATGAATTCCTCAAACAGAAGATAAACAGAATGGAGAAGCTGTCAGTAACGACAGTGAACAGGTGGCGGCGATCATGCACAGCTCAACGGTACTGTAAGGGAAGTCCACGCGAAGAAGACACATGAGCGCGCCTAGGTTGTACTAGATTGGATCAGCGGGGAACTCTATTGTGTTGTGATTGGCTGCTTTCCTTCGGCTAACGAAGTCTAAACCAATAATAGCAGGGGTGCTGGCGCCTGCATCACACTGTAAGAACCAATCACGGCGTCGTCCCTTCGACAGATCCAATCTAGCACCAACCGAACAGCCGAGACTGCCTTCTGTAACCGTACGAAGAAATGGCTGCGTCCGTATGCCGAGTGGGGAGCACTGTGGGTCGAGCCCTTGCCAAAACCCACAGAGTAAGTATCTCTTTAAAGGTCGTACAGAATACTTTGTTAAAAAAATGTGGAATATATTGGCGGAATGTTCCGCAACACTAAAAGTGTTCTGGTACGTGCTAGCCAGGAAGCTAGCTAGCTGTGCTATTCGCTGTACAGCTATGGAGAGTCTGTAACCGGTTAGCATTAGTTAGCTATCACTGAATGCAAGGTCAATCGGCTTATGAATCAATACATATTGTAACAGCTACCTAAAGCACTTTGTCCACTTCATTAAAGATCTTTCAAGCAGTCTTATTGTCGTTTTACTTAAATTTGGTCATTGACGAGGTAACATTTGCTATTTGTCCTCACTTGCCCTCAAAGACAAGTGAGGCTAGCACCGATAGTGTAGCGACTTTGGAAAGACACATGACTACTGTTGTTGATGCGGCTGAAGAGCTGGATAAGAACGAATACGTCAACTCGAAAATAACATGAAAACGTCGTAATAACACCCAGGTTGGATTATACTTGTAGCATAAATTCAAGATTTTACCAGATTTTGTAATAACAGTACAGTTCTGTTTACTAGTGACAGCCCCTGACATGTCATTACAGCTGTACCGTCTTAAAAAGACACTGCTCTAGAGGGATTTGGGGTTAGCCTTTCTTTTTTTGATCACTCATTCTGCAGGTGATAAAGATTGTGCTAATGAACTGATATTTATTACCTATTAGCGCATACAAAGTCAGAAAAAACATGCTTTCCTCCCAGGTAATCAGTTGTAAACACAGAACAAAATGGATCATTTTAATTAAAAGCCACCGCTAGCAGGAGAGTCCTTTTGAACTTGCAGATAGATCATTGGGATGGTACACCAAATGTTCTTATATTGGGATGTTATGTAGTATAATAAAATATAAAAGTGGTTCTCCAGAGTCCTATTTTAAAATTTATTGTTTTAATGTTTTGCATCTGTAACTTCTCCAGCCCATCCTGCTGTCCTTGAGGCGTGGACAGGCCTCAGTAAGCTATGCCCAGAGTCTGTTAGGAGCCCCTGAAACCCGTCTTACTACACTGGACAATGGTTTGAGGGTTGCGTCTGAGGAGACTGGACATGCTACATGCACTGTAAGAACACGTCATAAATAATGCTATAAGTTGGAGTTGTTTAAGCACACGATAGACACTTTTACTCATGTAAACCTCAGCATATTTATTCAGCACATGCCATCTCTTCTTTGTCACAGGTTGGACTGTGGATCGGTGCAGGCAGTCGCTACGAGAGTGAGAAGAATAATGGAGCAGGCTTTTTCCTGGAGCACATGGCTTTCAAGGTAAACTTCATGACCTTTGCTATCCTACAGGGCTATTTGTTAAAGTAGAATTTATATATCCAAAATGACAGAGGTTGCAATTACATCCCCCCCTTCAGTAAATGTGTTTTGTCTTCTTTGCAGGGAACCAAGAAGCACCCACAAACAGCCCTTGAGCAGCAGGTGGAGTCTATGGGTGCTCACTTAAGCGCCTACACCTCCCGGGAGCACACTGCATACTATATGAAGACCCTGACCAAAGACCTGCCTAAAGGTGAGAGGCAAAAAAAACCAAAACACAGATTCTTCTCTAGTTTTAATAATACAGTGATCGCCAAGACATCACAGTGAGATAAACTATTTAATGAGAATATAACAATAAATCAGTCATTTATACTTGGTTCTCTACTATGAAGGGAAGAAATTCCAACTTTCATTGTTTCTTAGCACCTAGTATGTGCATTTCTCCTCTTAGTTGTGAACAACATCTGTGTTTTCCAGCTGTTGAGCTGCTGTCAGAAGTCGTGCAGAGCTGCTCCCTTAACGAGGCTGAAATCGAGCAGCAGCGGAGCGTGGTCCTGCGTGAGTTGGAGGAAGTTGAGAGCAACCTGCAGGAAGTTTGCCTGGACCTGCTGCATGCCACAGCCTTCCAGGGGACTGCTCTGGGACACAGTGTGCTGGGCCCCTCCAGCAGTGCCAGGTGGGAGGAGCTGCCTGCTCATGAATATCTCTAGATTATTATTATTATGTCATAGAACAGCTGTCAGGGGAAAGACTACTCGGGCTATTCGAGTTGGCTCAGTATAGCTTGACTTAGTTTTTAGGGTTTTCCATTTAGGTGGTACTACCTGATACTAGGTACTAATTTTACTACCTACTTGGCTGATGTTCCAAGTGATCTTAGGCGAGCTGAAAATGTGACATCAGACTGTTTGCCACCGACTTGCTAGTCAGTGGTGTCACTCGATGATTCCCGAAACCTTCACGAAAATCAAAATTGCCATTTTTGAAAAATCCAGCAATGAGGGAAATATGCTTATATTGTACTTTTTTTTTTCTTTCTTTTTTTTGGAGCTACTAAATTGTCACCTATCTGTTTGCTATCGCAATAATTTTTATACTGCATATAAATTTATACTGGTATTATTGCAGACAATATGATATGGCACAGCTCTAATGATAGTTGTTATAATTCTTTAACTAACACAGCAAAAAAATCACACAATTTACACCTTTATGTAAAAAAATGACTAATCTTTCATACAATGCTCACAGGAATCTGACCCGCCAGGATTTAGTGGATTACATCAACAGCCACTATAAAGCTCCTCGCATGGTGCTCGCTGCTGCTGGAGGTAGGTGTTCTTCCTCTTACGCTGTTAGGACGCATTATGGTGCATTGTGGTGCTCTACATTTCCTTGAAAGCCTTGATGCTTATCTGGTGTGTTTCCTCTACAGGTGTGAGCCACGACGAGCTGGTTGGTTTGGCCAAGTCTCACTTCAGTGGAGTGTCTTTTGAGTACGAGGGAGATGCTGTCCCTGTGTTGTCACCCTGCCGGTTTACTGGCAGTGAGGTGAGATGTGTTAATTAAAAAAACAAATAAAAACTGCATCTTCATTTTTTTTTTCTTCAGTATTTGTGTTTATAAAGATTTCAAAAACCTGGTTCTTGTTTAGAATGAGATGTGGGGACATTCAAAATTATGGTAAATGGTCTTCTTCCTCTCCTCAGGTCCGTATGCGTGACGATGCTTTTCCCTTGGCACACATTGCCATCGCCGTGGAGGGTGCTAGTGCTGCTAGTCCAGACATCGTGCCTCTTATGGTGGCCAACGCCATCATCGGCAGCTATGACCTTACCTACGGTGGTGGAAAGGTTGGAAATGTTATTTATTTTTTAAAATGTACAGTGTACAACGATGAAAGTGTAACTGTAGTATTGAAATGTCCACAAACATGACATCATCATGCTGGTTCTTTATCGTTTAAGCTTTATTTGGTCTCAGGTAAAAGTGTTGCTGCCATAGTGTATAGTATATCAGATTTGAGATTTAAACTCAGAAAGGAGGATCTTGCTGAGATGAACAAGTCTTTGTTATGTCTGACAAGAAAGTGATTAAAATGTAAACAAAAAAAGAGTACTTTTTTTTAGTAATACTGTAATTATATTGTGAGTGTCAGCTATTGAATACACGAATCAGTTCAACTGGAAAAACTTGACTCTTGGTTTCTTCTTTAGTTATGAAGAAATATAATAACATATTCCTTTTTCTTCTCTTTTTCAGCACCTGAGCAGCCGCTTGGCTCGCCTGGCGGTGGAGGATAACCTCTGTCACAGCTTCCAGGCCTTCCACTCCTCTTACAGCGACACTGGCCTGCTGGGCATTTACTTTGTGGCCGATAAGAACAACATCGACGACATGATGCACTGGTCCCAGAATGCCTGGTCAGTAATGGTTCACGGACAGAGAGATGCAACGGGAAGATTAGAGTCTGTGATTTGTTGCTAAAGGTTTAATTCCTTCATATTTTGCTCCCTGCAGGATGAATCTGTGCACCACAGTGACAGAGAGTGATGTCGCCAGAGGCAGGAATGCTCTGAAGGCTAGCCTGGTTGGACAGCTCAATGGTACGTAATATCTGTAATGGATTATACACGTGCATATAGTTTTTGCACACCGTTGAAAACCTGGAATTTTTAGATCTTTTTCATAAGCTCCTTTCAAAAAAGTAAAGTCCTAAAACGTTTTTGAGCTGAACATGAGCAGCAGAATGAATTTGAGAGCAATGATACTACCTGATGATACTGTGTGCACTGCATCCCTGAAAGTCTCACACAGTACAGTATGTTTTAATCACAGAAAAAAAGAATGAAAACATTCTCTTTTTATGAACTCGGACACACCACTCTCATGAATTATAAGTTGACACTCCTGTTTGCCTTCTAGGAACAACACCAATCTGTGATGACATTGGCAGACACATTTTGAACTACGGCCGGCGTATTCCTATAGCAGAGTGGGATGCTCGGATTGATGTAAGTTTACTCTAAAGGACAAAAAGATCACGATGTTCTGTGTCTTCACAGCATCATACAGTACCTTCTCAGATTTGGCTTAGTCCTGTAGTCTCTCCCGGATGAGCGTTTTAACTCTAAATCTTTCCTTTCAGGCTGTGACCCCCAAGATGGTGCGTGACATCTGCTGCAAATACATTTACGATAAGTGTCCTGCTGTGGCTGCTGTCGGTGAGTTCTGCTGTACTTTTAGTCTCTTCACAGCAAGGAAGCAGCTCATGCTGCAACTATTTTCTGTAACCTGTCTCTCCTTCTCTCCACCAGGCCCCATTGAGCAGTTACCGGACTACAACAGAATGCGCAGTGCCATGTACTGGCTGAGGTTCTAAGATGATTAGTTATGTCTCTCTTCTTCCTCACCCTTACTTCACCTTCCTCCCCTTATCTCTGCGAGAGTAAACAGTGGATTCTCCACATGTTGGTGTGTCAGCAAAGGCAGCCATCCAACCTCTGCTTCCCGTTTTTGTCCAACCAGCTCATTAACAGTAGCCATCAGGGGGCAGCCAAACTGCATATTTTGTCTTTAAATTGCGTTCTGGTTACATATTGATTGTACTGCACAGGTACTGCTCACCTTATACTGATTTATAAAGGGAACAGAGGGCTGACTTGAACATTGAATAATTATCAGTGTGACATAATATGGTCAGTACTGAATATCACCAGATGGAGCAAGAGTATATTTATAATTTCTGTAACATTTGTTTCTGTCCACTATTGTACATAACAGAAGCTCTCATTCCAACAAAAATAAAAATAAAAACTGTAAAATATTTGTCTTGTGTCCCTTTGTTAGTCATACAAAAGGATTTCTTAATGATTAAATTATGTAAATACAGAAATGTTGAATATGAATGTAAACAGTACGCGTGTGCACAATATAAGCAAAGAGCTAACCTGGTTTTACTGTGAGTCGCATTCACACCTCACAATGTTTTTAAAACATAGGTTTGTAATATCAGACCACTAAGGAAAAAGTACTTTTTAAACACAGCAAGGGCTTTTCAACATAACATTTCTAAACACAGTAGTTTCCTTTAGAAAGCATCAATTGTGTTTCCGCATAAGATTTTTCAGCAGAAGGAAAAACTTTAATTGAGCCAAAGCACAAACCACTGCTGTGCAATGATGCACTTTAACTTTGCGATGCTTGAAACTTATAAAATCAGGTTAAAGTTGAGGGTTATCTTCCAATTTACACACAGTATAAAAACAAAGAGTGTGCCACAGAACAAGACTAGGACTGCACAGGAATGGATTGTGAGGTTAGCAAGAGAAAACTATTCGTGCACAAGAGACACCTTGAAGTCAGACTGAAGCATACTAAGGACAAGAACAGATGAGATGAAGCTACAGCTTTTTGACCATAAAGATGCTGCTCATGTTTGGAGAAAAAAGGAGCGGCTACAACCCAAAGAACACCGTCCCCACAGTGAAACACAGGAGTTGGGAGTATTATGCTGTGGATGTGGAGAAAGAAGAATATGTGAAGATTTTGAAGAAAATATCAAGCTGTAAGCAACAAAACTAGTCTGGTCAGTGCTTTGTTTTCCAACACAATAACGACCCAAAACATGCTCCTGAAGAAGACCAAAGTGAAAGTTATTGACTGACCTCATTTGAATCCCATTGAATCCCTCACCCACTGTGAGGTGAACAGAAGAGCAAAGTCCGAGAAGACCATCAAATCTAGAGCAGCTTGACAGATTGGCTAAAGAAGAATGAGCTGAGATTACTCAGGAGGCATGTTTGAGACTTGTTGAAATTCACAACAAATGACTGCAAGCTTTAATCCATCAAAAAGGATTCACAATTATCAATTAGCATTGGGTGGCCCAATAATTTTGCCCCTGGCAGATTTTGTAAAGTAAAATAATGTAAGCATTCAAAATAAAACCAGTTTGTTTGGAAGAGCTGTGTGGGGGCTAATATTTCTGTCCGGAGGTTCTTGGACGTTTAAAGCACCGATGATGTAGTTACTAGACTACCTTCACTTTTAAATCTAAAGTTTTTGCTGGAACTTAAATTGTCACAGTTTTTGAAGTGTTGTAAACATCGCACTTTTTACTTTTCTGAAAAAATTGTATACATTAATGAACACATTATCATTCATGTTGTTGTCCTAAACCAGACGTGCCATTTGTATTATCTGTGCTCAGACTTCAGATGATATGTTGGGTTAATCTGTGATCTTTGTCTTGACGTTTAAATTGTGGCTGTGGCCAAAGCGCAGTTTGCCTACTTCAGTTTTGCCACAGTGAATATGTATTTGCAATTGTCTTCTAATAGCCTGTCCTTACTGCTGCCAATTGCTGCGTTTTATTAACAACGTCTTTAGAATTTAAACATTTCATGAATATTAAGCGGGGCAAACAGTCGGAGAATAAAGTGCTCTCTGATACGCATCAGGCTCATTGTAAACAGCCTACGTCATTAGTCAGTTGAATGGGCAAGTAGGACCTGCTATGACGTATGTTTTATCTCGAATCACACAGATGACATCGTCTGAGGTTCATGTGCTGCTCCGTGTCATGTTGAATAATGCTGCTGGTACAACTCAGTACATCTGTTTGTTGCTGTGTGACATTACTGTGACCTGTGGGTAACTGAAACGGCTCGTAAGCCTGAGGCCCTCAAGGACCCAGCAATCGTAATCTGGCTGCACTCGTAATATATCATTAGTCGGATGAGAGTAAGTTCTTTGATGGGCCCGAATGGAGGTGACTCAGGAAACGAGATAGGCTTCGTCTTGTTGAGTTGCCCTCCTGGCCCTGTAAGACTTTTCCTCCTTGTTCTTCTCCACGGGGCTTTATCTGCAGTCACTTCTCCTTCTAACCTCTTTATACTCACCTCTTCTCCTCTGTGCTCTGTAGAAAGGAAGAAAGATGTGTTCTCACAGCATGTTCCTCTAAGAGTCAATGTTTTTTTTTCCTGGGGCATAGGCGTAAAAACACGTCAAGGAGGGGCTGTCATGCAGAGGGTCAGATCGAAAAGACTGACATTAGTCAAAGAACAAGTTTCAAAACTGGCAGCCAGTGAAAAACTTTTATTCTGTGTTGTTAATTGGTATTAACAACACACACACACAAAAAAAATTCACCTCACTCACCTCATGTCTTATTTAGTTGCTGTGATTTCCAGCTAATGCATGTTACAGAACAGACTCACTCACACTGTTGTCAGTAAATCTAAACCAGCTCCCAACCACCTTAATGTTTCAAACTCCTTAAATACATTCAGTTAAATTAGACCAAAATGGGCATGTCTCCCACAGTGTTCTTATCACTGTCATGTTTGATGTTCACTCAGTCTGCACGGATGATTTCCAAAACATAAACTAACAAGCATGATGAAAAGATGAACAATTTATGGGACATTTCAACACCCAACAATTACCGTACTGTTTTCTCGCAGCGTCTCCATGCTTAACTTCTGAATGGACGTGGAGGTGGGCTGTGCTTTGACTCCAAATTGGGGCAACTTTTCAAGTCACTCCAAGCAAGCTATTGTGATTACTATTGTGTTATTTTTAGAAAGAATAAGATAGCACTGAGTGCAAAGGAAATGAGATGAAATGAGGGGAGGGCGATGGGGTGTAGAGATGTAAACGATAAACAGAGAGGGGAAGGGGCAGTGTCACGGCGAGGATTAAAGTGGTTGAAGACGAAGCAAAGGACGAGCGGCTCATCGTCAAGTCCAGTTCAACATCCGACCGTGTTTGGTGCACATTGCTCCTCCGGTGAAGAAGCAGAAGCTGTGAGACAGAAAATACAAGATTACAGGACATCTGAGCATAAAAAGAGCTGCTGTCTTTAACACAGAGGAGGGAGAAGTGCCTTTTTGTCAAGTTACCAACTTTTGATATTGGTGACTGAGTAAGTATTGATTTTGGCTGGCTCTTGACGAGGTTTGCAAAGATTTATCTATGCATGAATCAGAGAATACTGCAGACTATAACAGGAGGATCAAATGGATGGATGATTGAAAGGTTAAGAAACTAAATATTCAGATGATCTAAAATGATTTGCAAAGAACTGTATTAAAGAATTTTGTGTTTCATCATCTTTTTATTGCTGAAGAAATAAAAAGCTATTTTTATTTTTGTACATCAGTTGGATATGTTGTTGTCTTTCCATGCGATCACTCACTGAAGTCTTGCACTGTCACAGTTGTGTAATATGGAGCTGATTCTCTGCTTGCAGACAGTCCTGACCATGAGAAGTGTGCGTGCGTGCTTCTGTTTGGCTCTGCTGCTTCCTTTGTGTGTTCAGAGCCGGAGGAGCAGTCTGGCTGTTGCCAAACTCGATGAAGACACAGAGAGGGACATGCTGGCTGTCGACATCTTAAACCGCAACGGTGCGTTGAGCTCACTGCTCCGATCACAGCATCATCTCGTGCTCAGGCGAGCCCCGCGCCCTGCCTCCCAGGTGCCAAAGAGAGCCCAGCAGGCGTCCCGTTTTGCTCTGTCCCTTGATGTTCCCACCAGCATCCTCAGTGTACTCATAGACCTGGCCAAGAATCAGGACATGAGGACCAAGGCAGCAGCCAATGCAGAGCTGATGGCACGAATAGGCAAGAGGAAATGAAAGCCCCCCCGGAGAAGTTTGAAGGCTTGATGGAGGAAATCTCACTTCACAACAGAGCTAACACATTGCGGCACTGACACCTGGTTAGAAACAATGTTAGTTCATGTGAAAGTAGTCATTGCGGTCAGTATCTGTCCTTTAGAGCTTAGATCTGCTTTACTTTTATACTTATATTTAATCCATTCACATTCCACACACAAACCACACCATGGACTGATTAATCACTACAGTGATGTGAAAAAACAAAACAAAAAACCAACAACAACAATCACAACAAGGACACTGCAAACAATGTAAGATGATGCTGGTGTTTAGTCTCAGATACTCACCACTGGCTCCCAAACTGTGACTCGGAGAAGTGTTTTATTGTATTTGCATGCAATCCGTAGAAAACATACAATTAAATCCAATATCATAATCCATTTTTTCTCAAGTCTAATTCATTTCTGCACTGATATCAGGCACGCTTGCCATAATTACAAGCATCAGCAGCCCATAAAGCACAAATGAATGGGTCTCAGCCAAATGAGCCTGCGTCACCCACAGCAGGCGCCGATGGGTGATAACAGGACAAAGACACGCGCAGGATATTGACCTCTGAAAAGAAGAAGAGACCCTTTCTAAAAACCTTTGTTCACTACTGATACATTTGGCAAACAAGTCACAGCTATTCTTAGTCTGAAGCCCTATCTGCTCTGGATTAGAATAACATCTATGGCATAATTAATCTGTGCTCTTACACCGAGCAAGAAATGTGAAGCAACAGAGTGAAATAAACTGCTCATCTGATTTACACTGTGAGGCTTTTTTCTTCTTCTCTGTTTTATGCTGACCATGACTTTGGCTTGATTTAAATATCATCTTCACACTTTTGGACCTCAAAACGTGCTGATATAACAGAAACTAAATGAAACAAATCACTTCAATTACTGTGATTATAATACAATAAATATAAGTAAAGAAGCCACTAATACCCTGCTGAGCAGCAGACAAACTATCTGGAATTAAGATAAATGCTCTGACGGTTATTTACACAATAGTATTAGATTGTTGCCTTAGCTGGCATTAATTAGCTTGGGGTTGTTTACACTGCCATGAGAATATTATAACAGTATTATCTCTGTTTTTTTTTTAACCTTTAGCCTAAAAGCATCTCTTGTAGCAGTTACCACGGGCGGTAAACCACAAATAAAACAAGTGTTTCTGCTTTTAAACAGTAATTTTACTCTGTGTTTAAGCTGGAGCTTTGTTTCCCATGACACAGCTCTATAGTCTGACGTATCTGTCTGGTGAAGCATACTTAAAATATGAACTTATTATGAAGTTCAAATAAATACAACTCACATCATCATCATCACAAGGCAGTTATCACCATAAACCGCAACTGGAGTGTACTCTGATTTATGTAATGAGTGCTCTCATCTGTGACACCGCAGTCTTTATTTGTCCCTTTCAGTTTGGCTTCCAAGTTGTTGCACGCATTGGCCGAGACAGCTGCTAAGAGTACAGGAAATACACTCGGACTGAACATTTCAGTCAGTAAGTAACCATTTTCCCTCCTAACAAAACCTACAGCGTTTGCCTGTCTGAGCATTTTTTGAGTATTCCAAATTTTCACTATTCCACTGATGATGAGATGAGAAATGCTTTGTTTATCCCATATCTTTTGAATTGGACACTTTTATAGTTGTGATGGAGAGGAGGCTTGTGAGAGGAGGCATATTTGGGAAATTCTTTTGAATTTACCAAATAACCTGTTGAAAAAAATCTGGCAGATGGTTCTTTGTCAGACAGATATATTGTGTTATGGAGGATGATAATGTGCGGTATGAAAGATTTCCCATGTGTTTCTTTGTGACAGCAGAGCTGAATCAGTCTGTTAGAGAAGGAGCTCTGCTGCCTGTCCAGTAAGTCATGCAGAGGTTTCTCAGGATTATCCATGATGGATGATGGTTTTTCAGATGCCTCGTCTTCATCACAGCTATAAAAGTGTCCAGTTTGCAGCCAGTCAGAGGGCCAGCCTTCCTAATCAGTTTATTCAGACTGTTGGTGTCACCAGCTTTGATGTTGCTCCCTGAGCAGACCACAGCAAAGGATGCTGAGTGATAGAAAACCTCCATCACTCTGTTGCACATTGAAGGAGCTCAGCTTTTGCAGGAAGCAGAGCCTGCTCGTGCCCTGTTTATACAGCCTGTGCTGGTCTTCCAGTTGTACTCCTCCACCATATCCAGATCCTGTCCCGTAAACAATAAACAGAGAGGGGAATGGATTGTTCAGCCAACCTCTTCCTTCTGAAGTCCATCACCATCCAGGTGGTGTCACTGCTTTACAGATGATTCCTCACAGACCACCCCACAAACAGTTTAGTCCTCCTCTCCATCACTAATACATCCAACCACTGCAGAATCATCAGAGTATTACTGTAGGTAGCATGACCAGGAGGTATAAGGGAAGTCTGAGGTGTACCAGGAGAACGGGAATGGAGAGAGCACAGACTCCTGTGGAGCTACTGTACTGCACATCAACCAAATCACACAGAGCTCTGTTCAGCATACTGCACCCTCTTTGTGAGATAGTCAGCAATCCATGAGATGGTCGAAGTTTACTGACATTTCCTGTAGCTTTTCTCACAGCAGCAGCCGATTCATTCAAAATGCACTAGAGAAATCAACGAAAGTGAGCTTCACTGTTCAGTCATTACTGTACAGATGCACCAGCATGCAGATGCTCTCATCATCTTATCATGATGTGGTCTGTATGTGGTGGTCACATTTGAAGATTAAAGATTTCTGTATATTTAAATGTTTTGTAATAAAATAGATTATGTATAAATTGCCCAGTAAAGTTACATATGTAACAGCAGAAAGTTCCTACCTGCAGTTCCTTGCTCATCCACAAGATGTCCTTTGCTTTCTTTTTTACTTCCGTAATTAATTGAAATCTTCATCCACTATCCTTTGAGGTGCAATTTTAACATTTTGGATGAATAGGTGTTTTCACAAGTAATGAGTATGCCCACTGGATAGCATGTTGTTTAAAAAAAAAGAACGACACTAACCCTAAAATAAAGACAGGTACATTCAAAATGGCGCAGGCTTCAATTACAGCCGTTAGCAGGTGTTATTAATTTGCGGTTCAGCAAGCTAGCGGGAAGGCGCTTCACGGGAGGAACACTACAAACGTAAGGTTTCATCTAAGGATTTTGCTTCGCTATGATTTGTTTTAATTACCACGAACAGATTTAATATAAACCGTGAACTTTAACGAGCATTTTCTTTATTTTTCTTGTTTTTGTGGCGCCATTGTCTTTGTTTGTGACGGTGTACACTTTGTTCACGGGCGAGAAAGCCTAGTTTAGAAATGGCTAAATCCCCCATGTTTAATAGGTGAACTCCAGTGTCCTTTAATTCATGTATTTTAAATTGTTAGCGGCTTTCATTTGTCTAAATATCCGTTTTAGCTGGATTGAGAGATAAACGAGTATACAGAAATGTATCTGCTGCTTTTTGCTACAGTAACTTCTTGACTTTTAGGATTTTCCTTTGGTGTGCACAGGTGATGTCAGACAATGACGTGTAGCCCAGCCCAGCCCTGACAGTGCGCACACACCTCGTCAGCGTGAGCCAATCCTCCAGTGTGATGTGCTGAGCAATGAACTATGACCTAATTTGTGAAAAGTACATGTTCTCATGTCCTCCAGCGTTATAAAACAATGCTGTAATTAAAGCGTACATTCCCCTAAATAACATCTTTCCTCAGATCACCTCAACCGCTTTGGAGCCTCACAGATTCAATTCAGTTTTGAAGCCACTAAGCAGTGGAGTTAGTTAGAATTAGGTTAGTGCTGCTCTGCTGAACACACTGCCTGATTCTTCATGCAGCTGTGTATTTTTAATTTTAGCTGAACTTTCTTTAAGATACTGGGTTATTATAACAAATTAAAATCCAGGGCCAGTGGGAGTGTTTATGCAGGATTTCTCAATAAAGCTGACGAGTTGCAACCAGATCAACAGTCATCAGCACAAAGGTCAGTGACCAAGTGTTGCAAGAAACAGCAACAAGAGAGGAGCGTGTACTTTATCTCAGAGGCTTTTGTGGTCCACACTGCTGGGAGCAGCGCTTCGGGAACAAAAACGATCAACATAAGGATTATATTCAGACAGGGTTGGGAGAAGTCTTGAGTTTCCTAAACTGTAAGAGTTATTATTCTTGATTGTTTCTTGTCTTTTCTTTTTATTGGGACATAATCATGAAATTGAAGGAATGGCCTCCAGTTCCAGAATTTGCTGAAATCGTTTTCCTAATTTTATTACTGGTATTTTCAGTTTTAAACTGCAAAGCTGCCACTGTCTCCTTCTGTCTCCTCATTTTTCACATGAAGCCTAGCTGCCACACTGATCATACTTATAATTGCAGGTCGAGTTGTTCTCATATGGATTATGCGATGAGGTCACTCAGCCTTTTCACGCCATCTAACCTCTCCAAGTAAGTGCTTTGTGATGGTTGTCACCCTTAGCTCTTTTGCCATTTTTAAAAAAATTTTTTTTAAAAATATATGCGCTGATGACCTGACGTCTTACACCTTTTTCTCAGGTGTGTAACAGCGAGCGTGTCAGCTAGTGCCTCCATGACCCAGCAGCTCCTGTCGGGTCGAGTTCCTCGACCGAAGCCTTTCAGGGTCACGAATGCTGACCGCAGTGTGAAAAAGGGTATAATGGCAGACATGCTAGAAGACCTGACAAATAAGGTGAGAGAAAGATGTGAGGTGTAAAAATGCTGTGTGTGTCGCGGGGGGACTTGGTCAGCAGCTAATAATCATGGTAAGGTGGTCACAAAGCATTTGGACTAAAAACAGAGGAATCAGGGGGATTCTGTGGTGTGTATTGACCATTGAAATTAGATAAAGGTTTGCCACTTGTTGCTGCACCATCTGAAGTGATTGAGTGTGTTTCGAGCTCATGTAGGTGAAATGTAACAAGAAAAAGGGCTGGTGTCAGACTATAATAATGTTAATTTATAAAGAAGCCAAATTTAATCAAGCCTGAAGTGTCTTAGCAAGATCTGAATGGCTTCAGTATGCCTTGGCATTAATTCAGTGCTGCTTGTAACTTTTGGTAAAGGGATGAAAAACAGGCTCCCTGAATCAGCTTCTTAATGATGGCTGTGGAGAGTGCCGTCTGACAGAATGGTGTAAAGG